AGGACGCCCGCTTCCTGCACCAGGCTGTGGTCAGACATCCCAAGCTGGGTGCTGTGGCGAAGCGTGTCTTTGCCACCACCCTGCCCCAGCCCCTGTTAGCTGTGACCTTACCAGAGCAGGTGCAGAGGGGCCTTGGGAAGGCAGCGGATGCTGGCACCTATGACTGGCCCCGCTTTTACTGCGAGCTTGTGCTGCCCAAGTTGGAAGACCTCTCTGTTGTTGACCGGGACCCGCTGCTTCTCCATGCGCTGGATATGTCCCATGATGATGTGGACAAAGTGCTGCAGACAGTGCCCTGCATACCCCTCATGGCCACCTGCAGCTCATCAATTTCCTGGTCCATCCCCGAGGCCGCACTGCCTCTTTATATGACCCTGAAGATGGGCGCTTCCCCACTGGGGACGCCTTCCTTTCCCCAGAAAGACTAAGCCGACTGGAGAGGCTGGGCATGGTTAAGGACACAATGGCCCTGCCAGAGCTACTGGAGCGGGCAAAGACAGTGCAGCTTATCTGGACCAAGGACCATGCCCAGGGCTGCCAGAGGGCTGCCTGCATCCTGGAGCTGCTTCAGGAGGCAGTGGAGGAGAGGGTGGACAACACCACGCAGGCAGCTTTCCAGACCGTGCCCTTCCTCCCTGGTACACTGCCCAGTGGTGAACATGTGCTGTTGCCAGCTTCCCAGCTCTACCATCACCTCCATGCCCCACTAGTGGGACTCATCCACCCTATCTTGGCTCCTAAAGTGCTGGGGGAAAACTTCAGACTCCCCAAGGAGGTTTCATCCTTCTTGGGCCTGGACCGGCAGCTACCAGCAGCTACAGTGCTTGAGCAGCTGCAGGCACTGAGCTGTAGCTCCAATGCTCTGCCTTTGGAGAACCTGCAGGACAGCACCCAGCACTGCTACAAGTACCTGCACACGCTGCTCCAGAGAGATCGCTCCTGCTGGGAAGAGGTGGCTTCTGCAGCGGCCCAAGGAAAGCCCTTCATAACTTTGTGCCGGTCATGGCTGTGGCTGAGATGCTGTCATTTGAGGCTGTCCCATATCTTCACCAGCTCCCAGAGCAGTACCGGCCCTATAGTCAACTTTGGGAGTGTGTGGGGCTGCGCCACACATTCACCTGGGATGATTATGTCCAAGTGCTCTGCATCCTGGCAGAGATGCACACTGGAGAGCCGCTGCCTGCCGCGGAGCTGGCTCTGGCCTTGCGGCTGGTGTCTTGTGGCTTGATGGAGGACGACAAAAAGCCAGATGCCTACCAGACCCAGCAACTCTTTCTACCTGACCAGGAGGGCATTTTGCGTCCACGAGACAAGCTCCACTTCAATGATACACCATGGCTGCCAGTGGACAGAGATGTCCTGCTGTGCCATGGACAGCTGTCCCGAGCCACAGCCCTGCACTGTGGGGTGCCTACTACACGCCACCGGGCGCTGGAGAGGAGCCGACTGCCCACTGCAGATCTGAGCTTCTGGGCACAGCCATTTGGTGCCCGTGAAGACTTGCCTACACGGCTGAAGAACATCTTGGGTGAGCACCCAGTACCTGCTCGTGATATGGTGAAAGAGTTGCTCCAGAATGCGGACGATGCCGGTGCGGGGCTTGTGCACTTCGTGTGGGACCGCCGGCAGCACCCAGCGGATGCCACTTTCAGTGAGGACTGGAAAGTCCTGCAGGGCCCTGCTCTCTGCATCTACAATGACAGGCCCTTCCAGCAGCAGGACATCGAAGGCATTCAGCGGCTGGGAATGGGTAGCAAGAGAGGCCGGCAGGATGTCACAGGCAAATATGGCCTTGGCTTCAATACTGTTTTCCACTTTACTGACTGCCCGGCCTTCCTCACTGGAGACAGTGCCCTGTGTATCTCTGATCCCAACCTCTACTATGTGCCTGGAGCTACAACTGAGAGTCCTGGTGGAATGTTCGCTGTCAGCCCTGAATTCAAGAAGACCTTTAAGGACATTTATGGAACCTTCTTACCCTCCCTCTTCAACCTTAACCAGGGTGTCCTTTTCCGGCTGCCCCTCCGCACTGCAGCTGAGGCTACTCTCTCCAAGGTGTCTGCCAATGTTGTGCGGGACCAAGACCTCATGGACATGCAGAAAGAACTGGCTGAGGAAGGTGAGGACTTGGTGCTCTTCCTCCGGCATGTCCACACTGTCGTCTTCTCTGAGATCCCCCCAGATGGGAAGCAGCTGTTAGAGAGACTGCGCGTGGCCACAGAGCTGACAGATGATGATGCAGAGCTGAGACGGGGTTTTCAAGCGAGATTGAACCAAGCCATGGATGGGAACAGCTGTACCTCTGTCTCCTATGTCATGGCAGTCAAAAACAGCAAGGCAAGGACCAGCACCACGTGGAGGGTGATCTCCCAGATCGGAGTGGAGGAGGGGGCTGAGGAGTCTCCAGTGCGTGGGCGGATGCCCTATGGGGCTGTGGCTGCCTGCCTGAAACCATTGGTCTTGGCCAAAGTCATGGGCAAAGCTTTCTGTACCCTCCCACTGCCGCTGTCCACGGGACTGCCTGTGCACATCAATGCCAACTTCTCTGTGGATGCAGCCAGACACAATCTCCGCCAGGACCCAGGCAGCACAGAGGCAGCCTGGAATGGCTTCTTGCTCCAGCGCTTGGTGACTCCACTATACTGTGCCTTTCTCACCAGCCAGTGGAAAGCCCTGGGGCCTGAAGGGCTCCAGTTCAAGTCCCTGGAGGTCTGCCAGCAGCACTTGGCCTCCCGCTACCTCCAGTTTTTCCCTGCTGTGACAAAGGTTCCCCCTCCCTTTCAGGACCTGGCAAGGAACGTCTATAGGCACCTCAGTCGTGCACGCTTGTCCCGGGTGCCTGTGTACCACAAGAAGCCACCTGACAGCAAGGTGACAATAACCTGGGCTTCTCCAGGTGGTGGGAATGTGCTAACAGAGCCATACTTCCTTGAGGTGTATCCTGAGTCAGATCTCCAGGAGGTGCTGCAGCACCTGAACATGAACCTCGTGCCGGCATTCCCCCAATTGTGGCAGATCTATAAGGAGTTCATTGAAGCCCAGGTGGATGCTGTTGACTTGCAGCCAGCCTCTCTCCGGCGCTTCCTTAAGGCCCTGGCACTCCCTGTGCCGTGCACGCTGGCTGAGACACCCCTGAGGACCCCAAAGAGCTGCTCCATCCGGCTGAAACCCTGCCTGGAGCCCATGGATGCAGACAAGGCAAAACTGGAAGGCCTGCCCTTGCTGGCCACACAAGATGGCTGCCTGAATGCCCTCAGCACCCAGCACCCAGTCTTCCACGGCTCCTTTGCCCACCTCTTCCCCCAGCACTGCCACCGCTTTGCCGACAAGTTCATTTCTATCTTTGACCTGCCTTGCTTTGTGAAGGAGCTCAGCCTCCCAGAGGCCACACCACTCATCCGGGAGGCACTGGTTCAGCTGAACTGGACCGCAGACAGAGAGAAGTGGCTCAGGGAGCTGTGGAAGTTCTTCAGCACTGTGGTCTACAAAGACACAAAGGCCAAAACGGATTTGGAGGCAGATATGAAGTCATTCATGGATCATCTCCAGGATGTAGTGGTGCTGCCTGTTCAGGGGGTTGAGAGAGGCTCGAAGCACCTACTGCCACTGTCCTCCCTCCCCAATGTTCTTTTTGAGTGTAACACGGATGTGACCAAGGTGCTGCACAAACTGGGCATCCCTGTGCTCCAGAAGTCCCTGCTGCCTTTCAACTTTGCCCACCACTGCCTGAAGATAAGGGCACTGCAGGCCACAGAGCCCAAGGCTGTGCTGGCCCAGCTGGTGGACACCAGAGATAATCTCCGCTGGAAGGACTTAAATGAGTGGGATGTCACTGGCCTGCTGTACTTTGTGAAGAGAAAACTGGATTCGTCAGCACAGAGGCAGCTCCGGCTCCTGCCTCTCTTCCGGAAGCATGGTGGGGGCTACACAGCTGTGGCACCCTACAGCAAGGTGCTGTTGCTCAGCAGCCAGTTCTCAGACCTGTCCTCGGGTGCCCAAGCCCTGTACAACCTGGAGAAGGACATGTTGCTGCTCACAGCAGACAAGATCCACCAAGAGCTGGCCAAGGATTTCAGGTGGGAGCTCACAGATGACCGGCAGTTCTTCATGACGGTGGTGCTGCCCCGGCTGCCCCAGCTCACCGCACAAGAGCTTATGGAAGCTCTGCGTTTGTTCTTTGCCCTGCACCATGCCTATGATGTGAAGTTGAAGGAAGCTGTTGTGGCAGGTTTTCAGACTGTGGCCTTTATACCCGATGCCCATGGCGTGCTGCGCCCGGCCTCCTACTTCTACAACAACATGCCCTCCTTCTGCACGCTGCGGCTCCAACGCCGCTTTGTGCCGGAGTCTTTCTTTGTGGCACTAGGTTACAACAGGAAAGCTGCTCAGGATTTCCTGCTGGAGGCAGGTGTG